ATCTTGCTAATTGTCCCATACGAGTTGATAACGCTTAGTTGTATGGCAAATCGATTTACCACAGACATTGTGGAAATAGGATTCTACTATGGTAAATAATCTATAATTGTTTTTGTTGCGATTAAGGTGAACAACTGAAGACTCTTGGTCATTTTTAAGCAAAAATAAACCAATACGCCAACTGTTGATTGTCACCGGTTCTTACGGTCCAACTGCGTATTCGAAAAGGCAGACTACCTCTGAAAAAGCTTCTCTCGTTGTGTTCAGCTACAACAACATGAGCGGTCTCGAGCCTTTTTTTTTATCCATCTGGTATAATAACGATGTTCATTTTGTTGAGAATCTTCGTAGCAAAACTGAAGTAGTCTCATGATGAGTAACAAAGAGGCGGTATCATCGTGGATACGACTGACTCATAAATATAGCATGTTTTGTTTGCCTAACTAGGTATGCTCTGCTTAAGCCATTTCAATATCCCGAACCCCATCGTTATGTTAATGCTAGTAAGGGCGAAAGGGGTTAAAACTCTGAGTACGCATTTAACGAATCATCAAAACAATATTGGATTATTTTAGAGAGCCATTCAAAGAGATCGAATATAGGTGCTCTATATATATATATATATATATATTGCGAACCGGATATATAAGAAATATATTTATAGGTCCTGGACAAATGTAAAGATTGGCCGCAGCTGATTTGCTAGTGCTACGGATAATTGGCACGTGTCTGGAATTCTACAACGGCAGCAACATAGTGTTTGTTATTTAACAGCTAAACTGATTACGACGATTTTTACTGATGTTTACCATTAATACAATATAAATAAATGTATAGCCACCTAAAGGTTACCTACTGTCGGTATGCGGATGAACGTTATAGGTCAATGTACGAAGCCATTTCGACCTACAACGGCTCCTGTAGACTTCCGTTTGCGCGTCAACATCCACAAATTGTGAACTACTCAGTACCTATCTGTGATTGAAATCAGTCTAAACTTCGCCTTTCGAGGAGATGATTTCGCTAGATGGACACTGATGAACTTTCACGCTGTCGAAGTGCTTTTGCTGGCCCTCGCCAATAGAAAGTTAATAAGATCCAATGGCCTAACGATGACGAGATCGAACTCTCTAGCGTAAATGACAACAGGTAATGTTGTTGGTCCGTTCAGCATGGGCGATTACCCACTGCTCTTAACGGCATCTGTACACGCGTGTACGTCTGTACACGGCTATTCTTTGAATCCGGGTGAATCGTTTACTCTCGTTGAGTCGATTAGTAGTCTCATAGAGATATCCACGCCTTATTTACAGAGTCATATTTAATTTAATGTATATAGATATTTACTACATTAACGGTATTTGATATTAGGCTGAGTAATCGTCCATATTATGAAACATCACAAAAATTCAACTCAAGTTCTAAAAACGAAATTTCAAACTCGAAAGAAAATTCCGTGGAAGAACCTCTGAAAAAGGTGATTAATAAGAGCTGAGAGTCTAACTTGTCAACAACCGAGAGATTTATCCTAAAGTGCACGGGTGTTAGCATTTAAATTCGGTGTATGTGAAAACACGGTACTTGTTCACCTCGCTCATATAAACAGATAATGAACAAACGGGTATTTGAGTGAAGTTAAAAAACACCCTTGCTTTCGTGTTACAACAATGACCCATTCGTGTACCGTATTCGTGAACTTGTAATATAAAATGTGTCTTCTTTAATAACGGCAGACGTCAGACAACTAAACCTATTTCGTCGACTACGGCTGAAGTGTATTGTCATAAGTTGAAGAACATAGTAAACTACTGGTATCGAACGACAACGCTCCATTGATTATACACTGTAAAAATGCACGAATTACAATTCAAGGCGTTCTGTCGTGCATCAGACTTGTCAGACCCCGGTGCCTTTACAAATCAGCATTTTCCGCAACGTTTTAATAGGGAAATTGTCTAAATCTCAACACTGTAATTTCCCTTAGAGACTCTTGTAGCTTTGACCCGCACAGCGGATTTCACGTGACTTCTACGTTAATAATTAGTTAAAAACTTCCTCTTATGGCCAGCGACCTCAAAATGCATTCATAAAAACAGACATCTTCTACTTATTAAATGCTGCAACAAGTTTTCGCTGTAGAACAGTGTAGCCGAAATATATAGAACGATTTCGGTTGATCTTTTTCTGCTTAGCTCGTTTTTATGGAAAAAAGCTATGACAGCAGTTTCATGTTTACCGAGTGTATTAAAGAGCGTATAGACGGAACCAAGCTCGTATGCCCTAGAAATAAGAGATTGTATTCTAATCCACGGAGAATAAAAGAAAACTAACTCTATCAGAACCAGTTAATGTATGCTTTGTTTTAATGTCTATTATTAATATAATAATGAGAATTTTACAAAAGCCCCATTTTCGGCTTTCCGTAAAACAAAGCTTCAAGGCACACATATTTTAGATTTCTAAAATCATCAAAATTGTCTCCTTCTTATCGAGAAAATTGTCTATATTATAGCTAATTTGCGTATATTCTATCCGTTGGGTAATCTATACCCTCCTTCCTAGTCGTGAGTCATAGATCACTTATGATGTTTCAGTTTTTGGGTGAATCATTTTATCGACAAATAATCTCGATTTCGCTACTACGTACTTTGGAGGGTCTAATATTTTACGTTATTTTACACGGTTGCGCGGGTTCACTTTTAGCCTACAGCATGCATCAAGGATAACTTTGATAATTTTGAGAACATTTATCATTTGTTCAGGATATTGTTCATTAGCATCGAATCGAGCAAGAAAATCGCAATCTTATATTGTCGACTAGCTGAGTTAACTGAGAGAAGTTTCATTATAAAAGCAATACGTTCAGATACGTACGGGTCACCCATTTTCATCACGAAACAAAGTTTCTCTATGTGACAGACTTACAGCGTCTGAAAAAAAAACAGCGTCACCTGATAATGGAGCTTCAAGTCATTAACAAAATGGTGCGTAGGATGTCCCGTGATCACCTGATGTTCGTCGCGTTCCAGTCCGATAACGATTTAGACGTATCATTGTTCACAGCAGACGATACCGAAATCGATGTTTTGCAGGTAACTGAGCAAATTGGTCACCTCAGCACGTTGAACACAATCTTTGTCATCTTTTTAATTATTCTGCGATTGAAGCACCTATATCTTCAGGGGTTTATTTTTTGAAGGAGTGGGAAGTTCGAGCTGAGGGAAAAGATTATGACGCACTCGGCAACGACTGACGTGAAAGGTCTCAGAAAAAAAGACCCTAAAAATCGTCTTAGTAACGAACTATACGTAACTTGAAAAACCACCAACTTATAGTGTCCGCTGCTAGTCTTCTTAGGCTAGTCTGATGCGCCGAAGAAGCTGGATAGCTCAGAAACGTAGGCGGAAAAGTTTGAATAACTTCTTATTGATCAATTTCAATGAGAGGTTAGATAGGCTAATATTACGTACTTGGTAATAGTTTTATGGAAACGACCGATACCAGATCAATAGACAATGAAAATTCTAGAAGTGACGTGAACAGTAACGTCAGATTCACGTGGTGTTTGGGCTCGAAGCAAAAATTAGAATATTTGGACTGATAGCATGGTAGCTATCGTTAAAGTTTATGTTCGTTGGTAATTAGGCTAAATCCGCTGTTAGTTTAGTTTAGTTAGTCAATTTCGGCCTATTTCGATTTCGGTGTGAGCGGATAACACAGGATCTAGGGTTCAGCCTGCTTAGTTTTTGAGCAAGTTATTAAAATGTTCATCAAGATGGCAGCTGTCTTTTGGTCCGCATCTCACTTTTTTATTGACACTACAGGCCTTGCGAAAAAGCCACTTGTTTTATGCAGAGGCGTTGCGTACGTCTGTGAAGAAAACTTTTTAAGGTTTCGCGTCAGTAGCAGATGACTACACAAGTCGTAGAAGCGAACTGCCTAGCAGATAAAGTCAGATTTCTAAAGAAACTTCATCAAGTAGCTAATGAAGTCTGTAAGAATGGAGCACGGAATCCTACCCTAGAAAACGCTTATCACTCTTATATAACTCTCAGCATTTTACGATCAGAAGTAAATCAATAAAGCTTATGGCAACAAGCGTCACTATGATATCTTTAGATATAGCGAAAGAGGATGTTAAACAAAATCCATATGACAAGGATATTATAAATAATAGAGTACTTCATTGCTGTATGTTTAAATAGTTACGTGCACTACAGAATGTCTACGGTCTTCCGCAGCATTCTTATGTTCTTTAAAAATAATTCACACATTTTTTCTAAGCCCTAAAGTAATGATGAACTTTCGAACTGTCTTCGCTAGTTCTTCAGCAACCCCGAAGACTGGAAGTCATGCTATATTTAATATAAATCTAGCAGCACACATTAATACGATTGTGTTAGAAGATATAGTTGTAAGCGTTATAGGCTAGCCTTTACAAAAGGCATGGTCTGTAATGATCGAAAACGTTATGGGTGAAGATTAAGCTTTTACTATTTCTATAACGACTACTGTTTTGGTTAAGTTGACGAAGTAGCTACAAAGTGGCAGGGTGAAGTGTGCACATATTTTTCCGCGTTAATCGATTCCGGTAGCGAAATTTAATTGAGTCTTCTTTAACTGAGTAGTCTTATACGTGTTGAGCTGATTCTGCTTAGACTGAATAACACACTAATGGAAAAAATTAGAAAAACGTTTAGCTCTTTTTAATCTTCTAGTACTAGAATCGTAACTAAGCATATTTCTTTTCGATGACATACATTTGTAGGGAAAAGCTTCACAAACAAGTCATCATCTATATTGTTATCTTTAAATTTACACAAGATGCTATGAAAAATTCAACTCGTCTCACATTAGTATTCATATGTATATTCATTTATCTCGCTCTCGAAAAAAACACGATCTGGAATATTCTTTCTCATAGGTGCGTCCTTGTACAGTGATCTATATCCACTGCGTGTTCAAATGCGTTATTGCAAACCATCTTTACCATGTACTGCCCGAATATTGAGTTGGCGCGCTGATGCTACTTTAAAAATACCGCTTGTTGTGCGCTGTCCGTCTGCACAGTTTCGTTGTCAGCATGTTTTGATTTTTTTGGGCCGACACTGTGTGTGATCGCAGTGTTTGAATTGCTTTGCAGGCGGTTAGCTTGTGGTATGTGACTGCCTGTGGGTAACAGCGGGACAGCGAGATCAGACCCATCTCCAACCATCTCTTCACTCATTTCGTCACTGTCCGTGTTTGTGCCAATCGTCTAACGGTTCATCCAATGTACCCAATATGCGTCGGTGATATTAAAATCGCCAGAGGGATTGTTATGCGTGTAGCCTATTTATGTCCATTTTCTTGATCGTCGTTGTCAGAAAAGTTTCACTTAATACCTATTGAAGTGGGTTAGTGTTCACCAGAACTCTATAGTATAGCTTTCTGCCATTGCGTTTATTGCTGCGATAACCATGACCGAAGGACCGGCGCCAACGGTTGTCTGGGAGGCTGCCAAAGAAAATATCCAACCACTTCGTCGGGGTCGTAATATTACCTTTCTTACTGAGGCTCTCACGATGAATTCGGACATGCTAGAAGAGAAAAAACGGTATGAAATAAGCTTATATAGTCATATCAATAACAGGAGTGGTAATTAGGAACAGACAGATTCTAGTGACACCTCTATTCAGTTACATATTAGTTCATTTTCCTGCATTTATTATTAGTTTGTTCTGTCAAGTTCTTTACTAACCTGTATCTGATTAAACATAATAAATCATATCAGTTGTTAATTCGTAAGAAACAATCACAATGCACGGAGGTAAGTGTTAATCTCATGGCAGAAAGTGTTACTAATTGAAGGAAGCTCTCAGCTTGAGTATTAATATATAGTTGCCTTATAGTTTTATGCCGTTTTCCCATTGTTTATTTTGTGTATTGCAACGAAACGTCTTCTTCTTTACTAGGGGTTCGTGTTTTTGCTCTCCATTGGTTTTTTGTGCATTTATTTGATATTTTAAGAGATTTCCAGACTTACTAGAATATTGAATATAGAATATTGAAATAATAGAATATTGAAGATATTTCAAAGTATGGAACTTTAGACTATGGGTGTTTCGTTTAACATAGGTCGCTGTTTCAGGGAATTCGAGGAGGCACTTCGAGCATATGACGGAGATGACCCACTGGAGGTTTGGGACAGGTTTGTTAAAGGTGTTGTTTCTTCTGGTAGAGATTGTGGCATCTTTTAAAAGTCTGATTCTATTTATGTCACTGAAATTTTAACATAGTCTCTTCTTACCTGATTAAATCATGGTGGATATCAGAAGACTTTACGACTGTGTCTTTTTCGCAGCGCGCGCACTCAATTTCAGTCCACCCAGCAATTGTGATAACTAAATTGTCACTTATGTAATATTTTGGTTTCTTTTTTCTAAAATGTTTTGGTATTCCTTTCCGTAATACGACTAAAAAAATTCAATCAACGCCAAGGCATAATTGTTGAACTTAAACTGCCCTTTAACGAAATGTTGTCCTATATGTGGCACGTACACTGATACTGTGTAAAGCAAGAGGTTCACCGATAGCCTAATCAAAGTTCATGGGTTTACTACTGCAGCTATTTGACTTGGTTGGAGGAACACTACCCATCAGGACTGCACGCTCTTAATTGGCCACAGCTACTAGAAAACTGCATCTCAGCTTTTATATTGGAACCGGAACATAGATACGACAACGATCCTCGATTTGTTCGTGTTTGGCTCAAGTTTGTAAGTTTACCGTACTGAATTCTTATTATTTTACGTATCTGAACTGACATTTTTGCGATTCTACATTTTAGCACGATGCTAACCGTTAACTCTTTTATAGTCTAACATTGTAAGTCTTACTACCTTTAGGCGAACCTTCAAGTTCATCCCGAAGAGGTGTACAAATGCATGAGCGCTCGCGGGGTTGGGGTAAGATCAGCAGCCTTCTACATTGAATGGTCCAATTTTCATGAGGTGTCGGGGGAACCTCGTACTGCACAAGAAATCCTCGAAAAAGGTGTTCAAATGCTAGCCCAACCACAAGAACAGGTGTTTTCAGCTCTAAAGTTAGTATGTCGGATGTTGGAAGAACAACATTGCTAAACTAAAGTAAAAACGAGAACTGTTATGTCTATTTTCTATTTTATTGGCATTCTTTTGTAGGTTAGTACTTTGTATATCGTATTATTGTACGTTTTTTACACATAGGCAGGGTTTCCCTTTTATCTTTTTACTAAATTCTGCGTCGTTATTTAGGGAGCTGATTCTCCGACTAGCACAAGGGTCGACGAGGCCACAAGAGGAAACCGCTCCTACTGGTGCCGATGATGCAGAGAATCGTAGTGCGTTCTCACGTCTGTGCGAGGCGCCAGGGCAGACTGCTCCTATCGTTAATCGTATCGACGTTACTAGGGCCTCTCGCCATCCTGGAACAATTCAGCAGGTAGGCACCTTCGAATGTATGCGACCCCCTAGGGGTAATCTCCTTGCAGTTATTCCTTAGACGTTTTTTAATCTTTCATAAATCGAAGTTAGAAATTAAAAAAAAATACTGCTATACATTCGTTGTTTGTCAACTAGACAGCCCCGCTATCTTCCGTACGAACCGCTTTTGGTGGAGCAAGGGGCATAAGTCAGTCCAAATTAGCTGTGTTCGTCGACGAAGCTCCGTCGAGAGATGGCCTTTTTACTGGAATGGGTACGCTGGCTGGAAGTGCTTCGCAATCACACAAACTTGGATCCGAAAAAGAGAACTCGAAGAAAACCGGCAAATGGGGACGAGAAAAAATAAGGCAACGTGTTGCTCCCAGGGAGGGTCCTGCTTTCCAGGTTGTACAAGATAAAGGAACTGTCGAAGATAGTACCGCTACTTCAGACTTCGTCACGCCGGCTAAGTGAGTCATGGCATAAGTTCCTGCATATACACTATAATAATTTGTTTTTGTGCTACGATATGATCCCTGAAATTAACAGTAACAGATAATGATAAAGGTAAGGAGAAGATCCTGTCAAGCAAGCGCAGTAGGTGAATCAGCCCTATGTTGACGTCTAAATGTTTCCCTAAAGGTTTCTAAAGGCTTTCCGTCTAAGAAATGTAGTGCTGTTTTTGATGATTTTTCCATGTAATGCGCTTCCATGAGAAAACGATTCCCCTTATACTTGCGATTAACAACGTGTAGATGCTAGAGCGGAGATGTTTACACAGAATATTGACGTGGATGGAATATTTTCAATGACATTCACAAAGTATTGGTGATTTCAGGTCTCGTTTCCCTGTGTATCTTGGATCTGGACTATCAACTCGAACGGACAAGGTTACTGAAATGGCATTATCCCATATTTTTGGAAGATTGGATGCTCCCGATATCAATGAAAAAAGAATGTACGACTTTCTGGCGGTATATGCGGGCACGTGCGAATTTCAATTTGAGGAGATCCGTATGGCACGATACAAACGGCAACAAAAGGCTGCAGCAAGCAGGCAACCTCCGTTACAGGCCCAAGAAGAAACTACAGCCGAGAATAGCTCTACAGGAACAGCAAGCGATTCCGGCTGCACAGAAGGTGGTGGCCTACAAAGCGTCACTGAAAGCAGTACAATACATTCAGCAAAGAATCACGAAAACTCATGGCAGCCCCGTGAAGCTTTCTAGGTTGTTGCTGAGCCCTTAGAAAATTATCCAGGCGAAACGAGTACAAGAGGAATGATTCAAATTCTATGGAGACTTTAATCGTAAACCGGAAGAAAATCTCATCTAACACGAGATTTCTAGGCTACAGCTGAAATCGGACGAAGAATGAAACTTCCGGAATGCTGAGCATCAGTCTAAAACTTTTGTGACTTCAAATAATTTCAGAAAACTTGGAAACGGTCGAGCGTAAAAGCCAGTATTTACTATTTTGTCCGACGTAAGCACTGAAACAACAATCTAACTACATTTGAATTTATATTTATACATGACCATGATGAACCTATGATGAAATATGTATATACTTATTGATATATATATAGCGTTATAAAGTAACGTAATAAATGTGATCACGTCTTCATGGAAAAATACGTATTCTATTCTATTAGAAGCTTTGAAATGATTATAACTAAAACATTAACTTTGCGCCGAATCCGCTAAGTCAGAAAGCTTATACCGATGTAACTTGGACGGGCGTTTAAATTCATGATAAAATACAAAAATATTTTATCAATATTGGACGTTAAATATATCCTTAAATATATGCAGATATAAAGTATACGCATTCAGATATAAAGCTTAGAGCCAAATTTCATGGCAAAAACAGTGCTTGGCATTCTAAACGTAAATCAAGGGTTTGTCAACGATTGCTAAGGTCTTACAAAAATGAATTGTGATTAAAGACACTGAGTAAAGTGAAATCAAAAGCGGGACTATGTATTTATTTAAATTCACTTATGTACACAAACTTTCGTTTTTTTCTAATATACGCTAGAATGAATGCAATAAATGTAGTATAGTATTTTTTGTGATCGGTTATATCTATATATACGTCGATTATATATATATATATATATATATATATATATATATATATATATATATATATATATATATATCAAATCTTTTGGAACTCTTGAAAACATGCGAAGCCCTAGGTAATAGCTGCTGTGCACCTATCTCGTAAAACTAAATATATTTCAATAAAACATGCCCCTTCACTAATTATTAGTAATAGTAGATTTGCATTAAAGGTCCAGTTTTGCTTGCATTCTCTGCAGAACTTGAAAAATTAATCAGTTAAATACAAAATGAACCATGATACTATATTTGCTATACAGCGAAATATTAATTCTAGATATAAAACTAGTCAGATTAAGGCAGATAGGGCACATGTCGCGAAATCATTGAATATGCGAAAATCAAGCGCGTTTTATTAGCGCCTCTCGATTTTTTACCGTATGATAAAATTGATAGTAGTTATATAACGAGTCTACCTGTTATATATTTGATGTAACCACCTTAGTACCGTCCCGTAGTTTTTCACGTAGTTCCCTGAACATAATTCCTATTATTTATACTCAGCGTAACCCCGTTTTTTTTATATAAGATAATCATATTACGCAGATTATATATCACACATACCTTAACTTGCTATTTAAATTTGTCAAAATTCTTGAATTTCTGACCTGAGTCCTTATATTTGATTTCCAGTACTGCACCCGGTATCGCTTCATTGCTTTTTGTTGACTGAGCCGTAAAAAATTGGTTAGGATATCCGGTGCCAGCATATATACTTATTTCTTCGAACTATGAACGCGGCTAGGAATTTTTTATTTGAGTCTATTAATACATTACGTGCGCATATTCTGTCAGATTGTTGAAGATGGCTACATTCATGATCGACACAGTATACAGTGTATCTCTATAAACTATTTTGAACAAAATATCCGGTAGCCATTTTTATAAGTAAGAAGATCACAATGAGAATAGCCTGGGTTCGTAATGTAATTCGTGTAATACGAGTACTTTTAAACAAATACTGTGTAGTCACTACTCCTTGTCACAAGGTCAGCAAATTTTTAGGTATTTATGTTTACATAGGCCCGCTCAAACGAAAAGAATACATTGACAAAAACTTAATTTTGATGAAAAAATATTAAAATCTATACACCTTGGCTACCTTATTTTAAGTTAGAGCAGCTCGATTTCGGGACATTCTATAGAAAATGAAAATAGAATTTATTCTCACAGAAGCGGTAAGCGGAACTTAAATGATTAGGTATATACGTATATATATACGTTACTTAGCCCTCCTTATTTTTTTCTATCTATACATGCTTATATACCAATATATTGATATTGTTTGCAATCATATTAGTTATATAATGTAGAATCTATTCATTTGCAATTTTCAGCATCTTCGGTGCGCCGGGTGCAGCGGTGTTCTGAGTCGACATACTCCGCCTTTTGGCTTTAAAATCATCGCCCACAATTCTGCTTACGGCTTCACCTAAATTTCTATAGAATTTACGAAGGCGATCAGCATAAATAACCATAGGTTCGGCCTGACATTCCTGTAGAGGAAAGAGACAAAAGATAAACAAAATATAAGATCGCTGTAAATATACAAATACTAGATAGGGCAAAAGAAACAAGTCCTTTTCTATTGCTAAACGAAATCTAAGTGAGTTTATTGCCTGTCGATCGGCAACCAATCGTCAATTATTTTTTGTTCACTTTGTTTCATATTACTCAGGAAAAAAATTAGATTTTCAATAAAAACCATAAACTACATACAAGCACACGTGAAATATGTGCATTATTGGTAATTAATTTAATAATAATTTAATAACTTTCTAATCTTTGCACTCATTTTGAACTGACTAAATTTTTTTTATTATACCTCAGAGATAGTGCGTAGCTCCTCTACTCCTTCCACGACTAGTGCATCCAGCTTCAAATGCCCACCCGAATCCGAGTCTTCAGTAGAAATTAGGATCTAAATAATTATATGAAACAAATTATTGACCGTATTCCACATCACTTCGAAACCTGTTCGATGCTCTATTTCATGTTTGTATTCTCTTCATTGGTGCAAGGTATCCCTTAATTGGTTTTTGTCCGTTTGTATCAGGTGCAGAAATACGTGTTTTATTGATAGTAAGTATAATTCCTACCTGATCTTCTTCGCATCGAAGCATACTTCTAGCAGTGGCGCCTGGTTGAGCGGCTGGCTCCTCGATCACTTTCACAATTTGATGGGTAACCGTACCATCATCCCGTGTAACCTCCAAAAGCCGTTCTTCGGGTTCAGGAGCACGCATTGTATGTTCTGGCCACTGACCGTTGACCTAATTAATGAATGGAAAACCTAATATAAATAATGTAACTCGAGTGCAACCTCTTGAGTTTTTGAAATCCCTATGACATAATTAACTCTGGCTGTAAAAAAGCAATAAAGTCTAGTTCGGTACATGACTCAGAAAAATATATGGCATCAAACTATTCTGTGTAATAATAAACGACAGCATTAGAAAATCGATTTGAGCCTAATCAACAAAATAATCTATATTTTGCAATACTTACTTCGCGATTAACGTGTGACCTATATTTTGCAATACTTACTTCGTGATTAACGTGTGTGGTACTGCCAAAGGCACGAATACCTTCACCCTCGTAATATACTTTACAGTAGGCTGTACAAAATGTGCCGATCTTAATTGACGATGACCGACCACCAGTTGATGATCGTGGCCGATTTTTTCGTTCGTCCTGTAAATATATATTTTTGTGCAAAACAATTATGATTATGCTCGGTAAAAGCCTTTTCTTGCTAAAAATAATTATCATTATGATTACATTCATTGCCCTCATCATTAAGACCAGCAGTTGTACCTTATTTCCTTCTCGATTGCACCGGTAGACGGCCCATCCGACAGCCTGTTTATACCTGGACGTGGCTTTAATAAAGACGGTTCCATTGCTTTTCAGCTCTCTTCTGAAAGATTCGAACTCATCGCGTGTACTAAAGCTGTGATCGATCCACTCAACCTTCAAATAAACAAGAAAAAACATCTAGAATTTAGATTCTAGTTATAAACAGTCCTTTTTAAGGATACTTTTCATAGTTCCATCCACGTTATTCATGCAGAAAGCGTATATAATGCGCTCATTTTTATCGTTTAGGGATTTAATAGCAACCGAACTGAACAAAAAAAGTCAACAGTTAATTTGAACGTCATAAATCTACTTCAGTTGAGTGATGATTGCGAGTCATCAATTCTTGTAGTCTGCTGACACTAATCACCGTACTCACAGCTACTCCGTGGTCATTTTGCATATGCTCAAGAAGTTCTTTGCGTCCCTTACAGACGGCAGCACAATTAATATCAACGGTGCACGGGAACTGCATGCATCGCCACTGAGTCTGCTTGATTAACGGGATCAAATCTTCCTGTGAAGTAGAAACAGGGAGATTAGCAAAACACATGCACTGACATCGATATCCGTATTGTTGTGCTCTCTTCGATACGTTTTTACGAGAAATAGAATACGACTACATATTGAACTATATAATGTAACTCAAAAGCTATTTATAGTGCAGATACAAAAAACAGCGTCATTCATTAAATAGATAATTGCAAAAGTGGCACGTCCATTGATATTCACAGAAAAAAACAAAAGTTCCCTTGTAGGATGTTTAGTTTGATATCCTAGATGATTCTATATACGCTAGCTTCTTGTGGAAAACTAATCAGCCCACGGACGTCCAACATTATACAAAAATAATGAAAAATGTCAACACTATACGGCTAACCATAATTGCTTACCTGTTCATCGGGGTGCTTTTTTGCAATATGCAACTTGAGAGCGTACAGTGTGCTGAGCACATTTCCGCAAGAAGGACACTGTCGATCATAGCGGTATTTTGTACCTGTCCCACCGGTTGATGTTTGGCTTGCCGAGGTGTCTTGTTCTGCCTGGTGATCTTCTTCTGTATACTGGTCCTGTGCTTCGTTATGCTCGGGATTCTCGTGCGTTTCCTCTTCTGGCTGATGGTGTATCGTCTGGAGCGGCCCTGCGATCTCATGCGTCACTACGGCCACAGTTTGAACCTGCGTATGGACCTGCTCATGGAGGTGGTCTGGCGGAGCTTGGATAAGCACAGGGGTACCATCGGTATAAACGTAAGAAATATTACTGAAATACGCATAATAGAACAAATTTTCTAAATGGGTTCCTGCAGACATCTATTGTGACTACATCCTCTCAAATGCTGCTTCTCCATTGAAGCAGGTTCTACAAGCGTTAAATTTTAAAATGAGCTTTACAAATTCCAGTTAACCGGACTCTTATATAACTAAAACTGTATTCGTTAAACATTCATTAAGGAAAGTAAATTAGAAAATCGTAGATATCCATGGCTCAAGATGGTTTTAAAAGCCAGTACTTTTGCGGGTAACCACCTTTTTCGTTAAGTGTGTAAAGAATGAGTGTAAATGGCACCAGTGTGGGTTTTTCAGTTGTTACAGATGGCTAGAAATATATTTCAGCGGGTTCTAATAGGCTCCGTACCGAATTTTGGGGCCATTTGATGATCGTTGTTTCGTTTCTTGCTCTTCGTTACAATTATTTTCCAAATGTACGCAATGTACCCGCTCGAATTCCCGTAGAGAGACTTAAACAAACAGATACTTCCAAATACGCCTAAGCATTATCAGCTCAAACTAATTCTAATATCCATGCCTATTCTTCACTGTAATCTCAATCGGCATCATGCGCGGAGCTTCTTTGTTCGTCCTATTCAAAATAAAGCTTGATTGTATTAATGCTAATTTGAAAAAATAATACCTAAAAAATAAGTACTAGTAGCAACAAGTATCAGCACGGTTATGTAAATAAAGCCTCGGCTTTCGCATGAAAAAAGTTGATCCTTAATGAGTAAAACGGGCTAGTAGTAGTTAAGTTTGTTATTACCATTTGTAAATATACTGATTTTTTTTGGCAGTGATAGTCACACATGCGCGTTCCGATCAGCAGAAACCGCTCCAGCCTTTTTTATAATTCATTTTCAGTTCTCTCTTTTACAACAGAAACAGTTACGAAATAAGGTAAACTCTCTCATAATTAAGCAAATTCAGGTAAGGCAATAGACGCCACGTTATTCGGCGAGAATACGGGGCAGGACTATATATATATATATATCACCAAGGTATTTTATTGAACCACAGAAACTGATCATTTAGGTAACAATTTCAAATTGGTTAGTTTTACCCTTCCACTACACTTAGTTCGCCATTTCCATTAAATTATTATCATTCATGAAGGTAAAATTTAGACTTTATTTTACCAAAAAAAAAAACCCTGTCATCCGATTATGCCAAATAAGCAGACCTTAAGTAACATGAGACCTCTTGTCAGTACTAGTTCACTCTCCTAGGGCTCTCTTAGAAAATGATTCTGATATGAAAATACAGCAGCGATAAATAATTAAAATTATGGAAAATTATCATTATATTGATTATTATTATTAAAAATACGGCCGCCAGAATGAGCCATAGGACTGCGAACTTTAAAGCAAGATTTGATCTGATAAATGTTGTTGTGGTTTGGTCAACATCTGTTCCAAGCAATGGAGCACTCATATCGTCATGTCATTTGCGTATGAGGAGAACGCGCCTCTCGACTCTGGATGGCCGACACCAATCACGCAGTTGTGTCGAATAGAAGATTGAAATGGCCTGCGGCTGTCGAACCCTGGCGAAAATAAATAGCCATGTCTAGGGTGTTTATATGATGTCTAGGTTATCATAGTCGGGATCCAGTAACAACAAAAACCCATACACGGGCCATTGAAACTACACACAACCCGCAAAAGAGCGGCTATGGCGCGAACGCTTCAATGCGCGTAAACGTTGTTTGTTAATGAGATGCTCGCGCATACAATGCATACAGACCTTTCGGTTGGTTGACGGTCCATTTTTATGGGTTACGCGTCTTCAGGCACAGAACTCACTCAATCGCTCAATGGCGGCCATTCCTACATTGTCCTCCAATGGTTCGAATGAACGCATTCAAGAATTGGCTGAATTCTCCTAACAGTTCATTGTTATGGAGGGCGATTGCAATTTTTTGGGAGAGGGCCTTGTTAACGACTGTTTCCTGTATAAGCTAATTTTTTTTGGTAAATCATGGAGGACAATGAATCATAAAAACTTCAAATGGGCATTTTTTAGCATTTTATTGATCTGTCAGCCGTGACTAAAAGCTTTAACAACGCGTTGATGAATACTCGGTATATTAGAAAGGCAAGTATATTTTCACATTCGGGAGTCGCTGCACATTTTTGTTAAATGGCTATCAAAGTTATTCTAGCTATTTAAGTATTTACATCTCGGTGCAGTCGGGAACTATGGGCTTTTTTCATATTTCAAGTTTTACGTCCGGTATTGCCGTTAACCATTCTATCAGACAAACGACTCGATGGCTTTCAGCCATTACAAAATGAAGTGTGCTTACGCCCGGGTTCGAACCTAGACCACAACATATGCCTAGGATGAATAGGCAAATACGTTATCTGATAAGCGGGTACGGGGGACATGTTATCCACACGTAAAAGTGGTACACGTGCGAACAAGCAACTACTTGGATGAGTTCAGAGTATCTTGTTATCCCTATCAGCGCAAATTACTTCTGTTTTTACTATTTAACGATGCGCTGTTATTTCTGTAATAGCACGAGAGATAAGAGCGATATAGGCGAAGCCTTTTGAATATTTAATGCAACCTTTGCGGTGACATAAAATACAAATAAACTTCAATAAAGGTTCTTATTATGTTTATATTCTACTTTAAGTTGATTGCATCCGACGTACAGTTGAATTTATCTCCACAAAATACGTCACACATTTACGCACAATCTATTTTTTCCCAGATCTAAAATGTATCCGCACCAATACCTCTACAATAGGCAATACACCATTTGGTAGGTCCAAAATTCTTTATCGTCTTAAATCATAAAAAATCAAATTGTGGCTTATTTGGCTTAGTTGATTCCGCGGGACACATGACGTAATACGTACATTATTATGGCTTAACAATAAAAAAGCAGGTGATACATTAGATGGTGTGAATTTGTAGTATGCTGCTATGCATATATATGGTTGTTGACTCGTTGAAGAAATACGATAAAAGAACATTATTTTTCGAACCCTTACATGACATAGGCGATCTTGATTAATCTAACATATCAATGCGACAACAAAAAGCACAAAAGTGAAGCAAAAAAGCAGTTCCACCTGCAAATGTTAATCCCTTTGCTGACTGAGGCAAATACTTTCTACGGCGGTCATATCACTTTGATGTGGCTAACTTCACACTGATTCGAACCAAAGAGTGCATGCAGCTTTGTGGACGCCGTACAATAGACCTTTTATAATACGATGACTTCATGATGGCTGTTGCTGAGAGGTCTACTTGTGGTTGCGCCCATGAGCGCAGAAATCACGCGATTGACGGTCGAGGCGATCTTTGCAAACCCCTTTTGTACAGGTAACGGTTAAAATGAAAACAACAATGAAATCAACACGTAATTTCAGAAGCTAAGTACTAAATCTCTTAGGGGCGGATTAGAAGAACCGAAATCGCCCAACGTGCCCTATCTTCAAGCGACCTTCATTTATTCCTTGAGGCGTTAGATTTAAGTGATCGAAGAAAGTCGTTATTTGGCGAAAAGATACAGCCACTATTGTTGGGTATAGTATCCTGCTCACCTTTCACGAATCTGTCGCAAGCCTTGCCATTACAATGTGTTGCCTTGTCGACATTACTCTTTCGATAATCATGTTGACATAATCCGCTAAGACGCCAATTGTGGTAGTCACCATTATTAGCAAAAAAAAAGACGCTAGCAAGCTACCCGTTCTACGCATCGGTCATGCTTTTTTTTTTCATTATTTAATAGTTTACCATTTGTGCATTCTGTGAGACCGATATACTTACGCTGTACAGTATTTGGCGACGAGACGTAAAATTGGCGAAAAGGCTAATGCATTGGCTGCGTGAATTGGGGCTATTGTTTCCTCTGCTCCTTTTTTCTTTTTTTAGCTAGGGCAAGCGTCACTGCTTGATACAGTGGAATTCAACTTGGCGACTAAGCGAAGCTTCTAATCAGTCTTCAGAAAGTCTCCATAGATGTGGAATTTGTAAAAAAATACCGTTTCGGTGATCCGGCGAAATCTGAGTTTTATGGGAAAAGCCGTTATTTCTAGCAACTTTATTGGAAATGAATACCATAAAAAATTCGGCATTTTTCCTGTCAAGTTTCGTCTGTTTGGCGTCATTTGGTATATTGGGTTTTCTAAAAACAAGGGACCAATTAGTGGGTATATACGGGATATACAATAAATGTCTTCAGTAATTTTTAAGTCGTGAGATCATGTGAAACCTAATATTGATTCCTTTTAGAATAATAGGTATCTCGTATTGTGCTAGCTCTTAATAACATAACATTATGGGATCATACGAAGAAAAAGTATTCATATTGTTTAGTGGTCCATCCTCTCGAATTTTCAAAGTCTCGCTGTCAAAATAAGTTTGGAAAGCTTTTGAGGAGTGCGCCGGTCTGATTTCCTCTTCTCTACGTTAACATTTATTCTGTGTTCAGTGATCTGTGTCCCATACAGTGTCAACATCGTCTTCCTTTTTCAGTTCAGTTCTCATCGTTGTCGTGAAAAAAACAATGTATTCAGTTAATGTGGAACCCAAAAGAGATTCTCTATGCCGCCAAACAATGACCAATTTAAAATAATGTGTTAGAATACCTTCACAGCACCTCACCGCTCATAAGTGTTATATATGTAGTATTCCTTTAAGATGGTCGCCAAAAAAGCGTCCTATAGTGTACAAGTACTACAGCAATGTGAAAAGCTGGCGGCCAATTTCCAACCATCTTACAACTAGCTTGAGCTTCTTATGTCTTTAACTTATGTCCGAGTTTGACCCCGCCGGTGCCTTTCTAAGGCTCCGTAGCGCGCTGCACTTTGCACCTGGTTGATGCTTTGCGATGAGGCAACATCGACTACAGGTCATCGTCGGCTGCTTGTGAACCTCACACCCTCAACAATAGCCATTTCACGCTACTTTGACAGACAATGTCACATTTTCTTGTAGACGTATATTCTGACGGCATTCATGCCTTTTACAAGGTTCAGTTTTATCTGCACCGTATCATCATTAATACATGGTTACGTACAATATTCTATATTTTTATGAATTGGCTTCATTAGTGTCGGATCGAATGGGGTATACCGTTGTATTGATGAGGATTATTCAACCGCACAATACGCCAATTTAATACGGGCACAACAGCTAACATTTATAATGCGCCTAGCGCCTAGTAGGGGACGAGGGTAGAAAACACCGTTGGAGGTGATGCTTGTTGAACATAGTTTGTTGAAGTTTTTCATGGAGTACTATCTGATCAGTGGTTGGGCCTTGTGGCTCGCTACCTCTGGTTTCGACTGCCCAGGATAATGCATAAACGAGCTGGTTGCGGATTGTGTCTTGTATTATTCCTCTCTGTATATGTGTATGTGCTTTTGCATGTACGTGTGCTTTTGCATGTATGTGTATGTATATGTGTATGTATAGGGTCTTCAGCATTGGCCTTGATTTCTGAATGAGTCGCTGTATCCTAATTTTTCGCTTAAAAATTCGCATTAAAAAATAATGCCTGTTTTTAAATGGCTTAGTACGTATTGACCTTTTTGGCAAAGACAGCAGGACAACAGCAGCATATATGTATACATATATTTTTATAAGACATTATATTTTAGACAACTGTTCTTTCGAATGGGTAAATTTAGATTTGGATGTGTTCATAGCTACGATAATTCTCAATTATATTGCTCTATATTAGTTACAAAAGTTATTTTTTCTGTGTTACTAAGTGCGTAGATTTATTAAACTATAAACGTACCTTATATTAGCACAATAAGTGAATAAAATTGTTGCATCCGTACGTAGAATAGCTAATATTCAGTGGTTCATGATAACTAACGATGGTGCGCTACAAAGCGGTGTTCGGCAATTTTACAAAAGATTGGCAGAAATTTGTTTGTTACAAAGGGAATCTTTCATGCGATTCTTTTCCGTCTTCAAATACTGTTTCATTCATATATATTTAATTGAGAGGAAATGAAATTTTTACTAACATTTGGAAGATTTGCTAAAATTATTATTATAGATACATATTATTATCAGTCAAGTCTTCAGTCAGATTCTTACAAATCCAAGAAAATGTCGTATCAAAGGTTGCAAAACCTCGGTCTGTTTCTCATAGGGAAACTTCAAAATTTGCCGTGATACAATCTAAGAGAAATATTTCCAAATCAAATGTTTCGTACCAAAATTTAATGTAACTGCACAATGAAATAAAATTAGGATTTCAAGCTGTTTGAAAATTTATTAGGTTTGACGTAGTGATCGAACCTGTAACCTTACCGTTGTAAATTGTAACGTCCTCTCCAAAACAATTTAATAACGTTTGTCGTCAAACCGTTTGACCTACTTAAGTGCGGCTCTTTATAGTTTTCATGTGAATCTGAAACGGATTATTGTAAACGAAGACGAGGTTCATGTTTAGGTAAGGGCTGTCCTTCAGGTCTGTCCTTGGAGTTCTCTGCTAGTTGACATTGAGGAACGCGTTTTGTGATGGAAAGCCTATAATAGCGCTAAATCATTTAAAAAGGGGTAACCCTTGCGTAGCTTCTCAAGCAGTGCCGATCTTAGATCGCCTCAAACAGATCCTTCAAATGCAAATCCTGATCAA